CTTTGATTGATACACATTTCATGATTCTTTGAATATCAGAATCTGTAAACTTGTACTTACAGATCTTCATTCATTTCTCTCACATTCTAAATAATCTGATTTTGTACATCACTCCTTGATTGATTGTGCTTAAAAGCTACATATTTTGTTCAATTTTTGTCTGATCATTGTGCTTCATAGCAATAATATTCTTTGAACAATTGTTTGTGATTATTTGGGCATATTGTTATTTTAGGAGGGACTAAGTGCTTCACAGAAATACCTCTATGGAATGTCAAAACCGACAAACCTACCTAAGAGGACAACYATATCTGAGTGAGCATAAACTTCAAAAAAAGGTTTGYRTGCAGAGCTTAAAATGAAAATGAGAGGGGTAGTTGTTGTGAGCTAAAAGAATTGATGAGAGTTGTGTCAGGATTAAAAGATCAAAAGAATCYTGTTCTAAACTTCAAAATACCAGGCATACCACATAATCTATTAGTTCTCAATTTTTTCGAGACTAATATTGAAAAAGGCAAAGCCCAARCCAATTCTTGTCACAACCCCACCAGCTACTYATTTATCTCTTAAYAGATAAGTGTTTCAATAACACTTGTGGCACGCAGCTCACAATCTATCAGTTTCCCATTCGGAGAAAGTTGATATTGAAACAGAAGGATATATGTCCCCCCTTCAAGTCTTTTTTTATCATGAAATGAGTGAGATGAATTTGTGTAGTCCACACAGTTTATCTTTTTGAGTCTAAACGGAAACATATGTTGCTTTATCTTTCTACACTACACAGATTTTGCAATTTATATGTTATTTTGCCATAACATTCATAGATATACTTTTATAAGATATCGATGATTGAATGAAAGACCTGGTGAGATGAACCTTAAAAAGTCTCATATATGAAGTACATTCGTTGTACTGAATATATCTGTTATATTCACAAGTCAATCTTTTTATAAAATTGAAAACAATTTCATAAGTTGAAATTGGTTCTTATTTTCCCATTCTCTTAATCTGAAAAGATTATACAAGTGGATTTGAAAAGATCTGCTTACAATTTTATGAATTGACGRCTTTCGCTGAAAATTTCTTTCATTCTGGTGTATGATGCTAATGATTCTCATTTCATCATAAGGGGGAGTATAAAATAATGAATAAAATAATCGATTCTGAATGATATAAGGGGAGTATGATATACAGATCAAAGRGGAGTATGATATAAAGATTGGGAACCGGCAAAAGATTCAAAGGAGTGTCACTGAAGATTATGACGGAAGATTATTCATGTGCTACAGTGTTTGAGAGATGTTGAATGTGAAGATTTCATCTTACAAGAGTTTACTGATAGAGATTTCTCAATAAGGAGAATATTAATTTTTGAAGAGAATGTTTGTGAACTTTTATCTGAAGAAATTCATTTATGGGGAGAATGTTAGTAATTTGTTTGTCTGAAGAAATTCTTTGAAGGTCATATCTTGAAGATCATTTCTGAAGATTGTTGTTGATATTGTTCTTCATTGTCAAAAGAGAAGATCGTGTTTGTTCTACATTCRAGAGGGAGAATGTTGGAAGATTTTTCTCAACAAAAGATCGTCTGAAGATCATAAAGCTGAGATTGTTAGAAGTTTGTTTTAAAGATTTCAAGAAGTCATAAAGAGCTTAAAGCGTCAAAGTTCAAACGAGATTCAAAGCGTGCAAATTCTTTCAAGCCTAAATACAAAGGGGGAGAATGTTGGGATTGAATTTTAGTGATAAATTGTATTCGTCTTGAAAGTCTATAATTGTATTGTTAGCGTGTTTGACTTTGTAAGTCATGTTGACTTTGACTAGAAGAGTTTATTGTTTGACCTTATATATACTTTGTCTTGTAGTGAATTAGAGTAGAAGAGCTTTATTATAAATCATATGTATACTTAGAGTGAAATATAAGAGTTTGACTTGTTAACTAATTCTCTCAACTCCTCTCAAGTGTTCTTCATGATATTATGAATCTACCATTGAATCTTAGTTGAAGATATATGAAGATTGATCATTTTGTGGACTCACAACTGTTTTGCTTATGTTTTGTCGTTAGATATTTTTCCTTTTGACTAAACTTGCAATTGTACAGGTATGTGGCACTAAATGTCGCATTGATTATGACAATGACGAGAGATTGGCAAGACTAATGACAATGCATACTTAGAGTGGTATTCCTTTTTGGAGTCGTGATTACATATATAGCTTCAAGATAATTGCTAAATTGGTCTCTCTCCTTCTAGCTAGTAAGTGAGTTATGTATAATATTTTTTTGATTGAATACAATTTTGGAAAATTGATTTTGTTATTTAATATGCATTATATATATATAGAGAGAGAGAGTGTGTGTGTGTCAGGTTCATATGAAAATGATATATATTTAAGAGAATGGTTGAATCACATATATATCATTTTACACTAACATCACGTACAAAATCACATGTGATTCATGCAACCTTGCCATGAATGTTGCCACTTGGCCATAGGGTCGTCCGCTCACTTTTTGGCCATTAAAATAAAATTACATGCGATTTTGTACGTAATTTAGTCATTCTCTTATTTTTTTTCTTTAAGTACCTTTCTCGTATGAACTTATCTCTCTATATATATATATATATATATATATGATACTATGTACAAGAAATCAAACAAAAATTTAATTGTTCTTTAAAAAAATTAAAATAACCGATGGATTAGTGATGAATTATCTATTGGTAAATTTTTTATTTTATCAAAAAATCCGTCGGTCAAGGCGTCCACCAGATCAGGGACGGACCCAGAAAAATTTTCATACGGTGGCACCATATAATTAATATAATATAATATATATCTAAAAATTAATTACAAAAAATATGGTTTTTATAGTACCGATAAACAACTCCTAAACTTATACCCGACGCGTTTTCATCTTTTGAAAACGGTCAATATATACCCAAAAATAATTACAAAAAGTATGTTGAGAAACAACTCCTAAATTTGTCCTCAACGTGTCTTCATCTTTTGGAAACGATCGATGACATCTTCGTTTTTAACATTATTAAGGGTTTCCTTTTCTATGGCGCAAATGAGGACAAAATTTAAAAAATATCACCAATTCGATTACGTAAATCTGTCTTGACAAGCTTCAAAAGCATCTTTCAACCGTAGCAGTTGCAACAGGCAAATCATCTATCCCATGATTCCCACATTGGTCTCTGAATAAGTAACAAGGCAAACAATATGCTCTATCTACTTTTACATTGTATTCCAACCACTGAAATTGATCAAACCAAGAAACAACAAACCGTCTTTCTTTAGCTCCTATAACTTTGGTTGGAAAGATGTGACCTCGTGGTTGACAAGGACCCCTTACCAAGTATTTCCGTCTAATTTCGTCTATTTGATTTGGGTTATAACTTATAATTTTGGGTCTTTCTGATGGATCCCAAGRAAGATCGTTAACATCAATCACATTGTTGGATGCATCATTATTACCGGTTAACAGTAAGTCAGTAACACAATGTCATTATCTCACAGTCAAGAGTCAACATTCAACAATTCAATTTTATTCCATCATCAATTCAATTCATCATCAAAAATTGACTTAAGTAATCAATGTAATAAAGTAAGTAATCAATTAAGAGTAAAAATTGATACCTAAAATGAGTAAATCTGAAAATAGAGTTCAAAACATTAACTCATTCGGTCATTCCAATCGAAGAATCGTTCCATGTAACTCATTCCGAGCGGAGAATCGATGACTCAGCGAGTACCGAGTCTTCAAGACTCGTTCCAAGGATGAATCGAATCTCGTTGTCGGCTCGTTGTCGCTCACAGCCTCACACACTCGCACTCGCACCAGGTCGCATCATCTTCTCACAATCTCACTCGCAATCGCACGCACCAGGCCACCAGCAGSTAAGGTTAGGGCTTTATTTTTTACTTCTTTAGGAATTAGGATTTAGGCCCTTAGTAGTTACCGATTTAGGCTTTAATCTTGGACTGGACCAGTGGAC